ATATTTATGTTTGTGGTTGTAATGTGACAAAATATGGAAAAGTTCAAGGGGTATGAATACTTTTGCAAACCACTGTATATATTACTAATAAATATGTGGCAAACGTTTATAGTTACATAGCTATATTGGCATATACATGTGTTGTAGCATGGGCGGTAACTCTAAAGTGACATATGCAAAAACTTATTAGCTTGGCACCAACGCAAAAGCTAACAGGCTAATCTGAGGTTCTCCAATCCATGAAGCAGCTCTGTTGTCCTCCATCCACATTTTCAGTTGCAGGCTGAGACATTTCTACATCCGCTTCTCTGTGAAGGTGCTCTGGTTTAGTTTAAAAGGGCTGATCGTCAGATTTTCTAAGATTAACCTTCAGGGTGGATAAGAGCTTGCACAGCCTCAAACCGAAAAACCTAGAGAATGTCATAATTTACCTAGTATATTTTCCGGTATTAATAAAATGTTGCTGCCCAAGTGACATTTTATAAAAATTTATATAAAATTAAAAGCCTACAGTATTTTTAGTCTTTGTTTTACAGTTAAAAGAAATGTTTATCAAATAATATCAAATTTTACAAGCAATTGTGGATCCCCTTTAAAGTTCATACAAGGACAAGCAACTTGGTAGCTAACGCTAAAAGGAGAAGAACAGGAGCTAAAATTAAAAACTTGTAAAATTGTAGCTATAAAACTAAATTGGTAACATAGCAAAAATGAGCACAATCACAACAAAAAGTCAAAATAAGCAAATACTAGTTCAAAGCTAAAACAGTATTATTAGGGGTCCAAGCCTGCGGAAGCAGGGTAATGCAGCAGCGTTTCCGTCTCTTAATATTATTATTTTTTCTTCTGTCAGTAAAACTCGTACTACAGCCCAAACCGCAGGGGCTACAATGAAGATTTTAACAAGGTAGTTAAATACCTCCGAGTACGGAGGAAAAAAATAATCAGACATGTCAACCTATAGGGGGCGCCATAATCAATGTCTTTGCATTTGGCCTTCTGGCTTCTAAACCATAAGTCTACAAGATTTTTGGTTTATAGCAGTAAAATCCCTGGAAATACCTTGGTGGGCCTAATGGATAGAGCTTCATCAGAGCTAAGCAACAAAAGAAATCTGAAGTTCCTATGTTTAATAGTTTTTGAGCTATAACCATACACCTTTTTCAGATAAATTGGGGGTCCAGGGGGGTGGGGGCACTGATGGTGGGCCTGATGGATAGAGCTTCATCAGAGCTAAACAACCAAATAAATCTGAAGCTTCTATGTTGAACAGTTTCTGAGTTATAAGCATTTTTGCATGTCCTGACACCCCCTCTTTGAAAGGAGCCCCCTCCTCACATATGGGGTCTATCGTAAAACCATTGGCTGGCGCAGTGTAGGTCAGACTCATCTACAGTCCTGCCAAATTTCATGTTGACCGGTGCAGCTGTTTTTGTGCCCCCCCCCCTCCCC